AACTAAAATGGAAATGAGAATGTTGATGCTATCTGGAAAACGTCAACAATGTCACTGAACATTATGTATAACAACAACAACAACACCTTTAATATGCAGATGACACAACTTTGGTTGCCGCAAGTGAGGATTTGCTGAGACAGATCAAGGAGTACAACCTTCAGTATGAATTACAACTCAATGTAAAGAAATAAAACATCCTCACAATTGGACCAATAGGTAACATCATGAGGCACATAGAAAAGATTGAAGATGTCAAGGATTTTGCCTTGCTTGGAAGGCAATATTCATGGAATCAATATTCATGGAAGGAGTAGTCAAGAGATCGAAAGACATATTGCATTAGGTAAATCTGCTGCACAAAACCTCTTTAAAATGTTGAAGAGCAAAGATGTTACTTTGAGGACTAACTAAGGTGTGGCTGACCCAAACCATGGTTGTTGTTTTGTTTTTGTATTTTCAATGGCCTTATATGCATGTGAAAGATGGACACTGCACAAGGAAGACTGAAGAATCAATGTATTTGAATGATGGTGCTGTGAAGAATATTGAAAGTACCACGACTGCCTAAATAAAACCAAACTGTCCTGGAAGTACAGACAGAATGTTGCTTAGAAGCAAGGGCGTCCTATGGACATGTTATCAGGAGAGATCAGTCCTTGGAAAAGAACACCATGCTTGGTGCAGTCGAGGGGAGGAGAAAAAGAAAGACCCTCAGCAGAATGGATTGACACAGTGGTCGCAATAATGGGCTCCATATGACAACAATTGTGAGACGGTGTGATGTTCCGTTGTACATAGGGTCATGATGAGTCTGAACTGACTTGATGGCACCTAACAACAACGAGAACTAAAGATTCAGAAGCATGCTTGAAGTTCTCATGCTAATTTAACATGCCAATTCTACCAAGCTCTACCATCCCATCAATGCCAACACACAGTGACCCCAAAGGACAGAGTAGAAATGCTTCTGGGAGATTCTGAGATTGCAATTCTTTCGGAGAGCAGAAAGCCCTGTCTTTCTCCCACAGAGCAGCTGGTGGTTTTGAACTGCTGATCCTGCAGTTAGTTAGCAGCCCAACGTGTAACCACCAGGGTCCCTGCAACTCAATAGGGGTAGGGTAAAAAGTATTGCTACTAGGAATCCAGTTCATATATGCATGAGTTTATTCCAAACAAAACATGTTTAAACATATCTCTATGACCAACAGATGGCTGCAGATAAATTTTCTCAGTACTACATTTGTCATACTGGGTTATCTTTTTTTAAAAAGGTCCAATCTAAACAGTGGCTTCCAAGAGGATCTACTGGGTGTGGTTAAATTCAAGGCAGAGAGATTAGCACCAAAGGTTACTGCAATTATTAGGCTTCCAAAGGGGTAATCATAGATTTTCTCAAGCAACACAGGATGATCACTGGATTTCATATGAAGAAGTTTCAAGTAAATGGAAAATTTTACTGGTGAGAAAAAAGCCAGCAAAATTGCACTAAGGAATTTTTTTCCATCTTGACAACGCATCTACTCATTCTTCAAGGGGTAACAAGAGTTTTCCTATGAAAATTTCATACCCAATCCACCCTCCAACCCTTGATGATCTTGTTCCTTCAGACTTCTTTTTGTTCCAAACTCAAAGAGCATTTTAAAAGATCATTAATTGAAACCCCTAGGAGGGTGCACATCGAAGAGCACAGAACTCTTTGGAACAGGGTTACAGAGATGGAAACACTGCCTTCAGAAGCTAATCCGCCTGCACAGAGAGGATGCTGAGAAACAACAGCTTCACCTTTTGATATCTGTTGAACAATAAAGGTTTTCATTATTTTGCAGCAATCATTTTTGACTCACCTTTGTATTAGTAATAAATAGCTCTGACATATTTTAGAATGTCAGCTCATTTTCCCTGCATAGCATCAGAAAATACAAAACAAACAAGTCCCAAGTGAAAAAGATACCAACACACTCAGTTTCCAGCCAGAGCATGTCTCATTGTAAAATATTCCCGTAGATGGTCAGATGACTTGTTACATTATCTAAGCTAGAGTATATAGAAGGGACCTAGACAGAGGTCCCTTGACAGCATTTTCTATTGTCTCTGTTTTTAGTCAGAAAAGCAAAAACTTACGCTTTGAAAAAGAAAACTCTAAATTTAAGCTTCAAGAAGAGAATAAAAATAAATATATTATTTTCATCCATTGGTCAAATTTTCTGGGTCAAGAACAAGAAAATAAAGGATACGAGGAGACTTTTAACACCTTAGAAATAAGTATACAAGTGATACATCTATTTCAGTAGTGAACAGTAAGAATATTTTAAAAATTATCTGAAAATAAAGTAAAATATTATTTTTAATCATTTTATTGGGGGCTTGTACAACTCTTATCACAATCCATCCATTGTGAAGCACATTTGTACATTGTTTGCCATTATCGTTCTCAAAACATTTTCTTTCCACTTGAGCCCTCAGCTCCTCATGTTTTCCTCTCCCTCTCCCAACCTCCCTCCCTCATGAACACTTGATAAGCTATAAATTATTATTTTGTCATGTGTTACACCAGGGGTCCTCAAACTTTTTAAACTGGGGGCCACTTCACTGTCCCTCAGACTCATTGGAGGGCCAGACTATAGTTTTAAAGAAAAAACTATGAACAAATTCCTATGCACACTGCACATATCTTATTTTGAAGTAAAAAACAAAATGGGGCAAAAACACCGGCAGGCCGGATAAATGTCCTCGGTGGGCCGCATGTGGCCCACAGGCGGTAGTAAAACTGAAGACATTACAGACAATGTAAAGAGCGCCATGAAAAAAATATTTGCAGACAAGACAGTATTGATGGGAGAGGACAAAAAAGAAAAAAGGCAAGAGAAATGGAGCAAAGCCTTTGGGAAATCCTTTCTAGGCTCATGAGGTAGGGGGGAGCGGGGAGGGAGGGGAAAAATGAGGACCTGATGCCGAGGGTTTAAGTGGAGAGGAAATGCTTTGAGAATGAGGGCAATGAATGTACAAATGCGGTTTACACAATTGATGTATGTATGGATTGTGATAAGAGTTGTATGAGCCCCTAATAAAATGATTTAAAAAAAATCCTTTCTGAAAGGAGGCTACCCAGAACGCTACAGGAACAGGCTTAGGCAACAGTCAGTGCAAGGCCTAACAGAGTCACAGAGAAGACTACAGGAGAGAGAGGCAGAGGGACACAGACAATGTGGAGAAGAAGGCGGCCTGTGGGAGGAGGGGAGGAATGAGTTGGACCTGTGTCTAGTCCACATGGTTCCTTTGTACAAGTTGGAAAAGGGTGCCCCTCGACGAGGGGACATCACGATGCCGAGTTTGGCAAGCAAAGTCTGGGCTAGATTTTTAACCTAACTTGTTCCCTCTGTGCTGTGAACAACCTGCATAACTGAACAAAGACATCCTGGGAACGTAAGAAAAACTAACAGCTTTTGGAAGAAGCAGGTACATGGTTTTATTTCCCTAAAGTACAGATAAATTCTTACAGAGCTTTTTTTGCAAATTGAAAACCCTCTGGCAGCTTAATGATTTGCACCTGCATGTAAAATTATGTTCTAATGGAAACATTTCAACTGGGAACAAAATGGAATTTCTGGCTAGCTGGAAGGGAGGTGCGCTACATTATAAGGGATGTAAAGGAAGCTGTCAGCTACTACTCATCATGTAAGGACATATGTATCTGCTGGTGTCCAAGATGTGTGTACACAGCTCCTTACTACTGGGAGGCTTTTCAGAGCTTCTGCTCACAAAGCCACAGAGAGCATCACTATTTTTTAAAAATCATTTTACTGGGGGCTCGTACAACTCTTAACACAATCCATCCATCCATCCATTGTGTCAAGCACATTTGTACATTTGTTGCCCTAATCATTCTCAAAATATTTGCTTTCTACTTGAGTACTTGGTATCAGCTCTTTTTTTTTTCTGTTCCCTCTCTCACCATCCCTCCCTCACAAACCCTTGATAATTTATAAATTAGTATTTTTTCATGTCTTACATTGTCCGATGTCTCCCTTCACCCACTTTTCTGTTGTCATACCATGTAGATCACTGTGGTCAATTCCCCCTTTCTTCCCAACCTTCCCCGACCCCTCCTGATAGAGACTAAAGGTAAACAGCGGGGCTTCTTCGAAATGTCCCTCTGCAGAAGCGATGTATCATAGCTGCCTTTGGCTGCTTATTAAAATGTAAGTTCCTGGGCTGGCTCTGCCCTAGACCTCTTGATGCAGAAGTTTTGGAAGTGAAGCTGGGACTCTGCAATTCACACGATGGCCACCAAAGCTGGAAAACTACTATTTTACAGGACTATAAAATAGAAAAATCTGGGTTAAGAAAGGGAATAAAAGGATTGGGCCTAAAAAATGTGCAATGTAAAGTATAAACCATAAACAGTTAAATAGATGCCTTCCTTATCAAATTATGGTGCAGATAAAAAAAAACCTGGAATTAAGAGATATTTTAAAATAACAAAACATATCACACATCATGCACACAGACACTGCTCATTCTTGTGGCCTAATTGTAAATATTATGAAATTAGGTTGTCATGGCATTTTGTATATCAAGTTGCTATAATAAAAGGAAACTTAAAAAAATACTTATTGGGTAAGGTGACCAGACATCCCGTTTTTGGCGGGACAGTCTTGATTTTAAAAATTTTTCCTGTGTCCCGCGGCGTTTTAAAAAAGACTCGATTTTTGGAAAGAATGCACAAGCTGGGGTACACAGTTTTCGGCTGCCATGTGGCTATTTCGCCAGGATATGAGTTTTATCAATGGTGTCCCGCTTTTGTCCCGCTTTACCAGTGTTAAAATCTGGTCACCTTAATATTGGAAGATGACTATAGAATTTAGTTCAAATATCTCCCTGTGCCTGTTGGTCAAATTTAGCCTTCTATAGAAGAATAGTAGTTGATCAACTGTTAGTATTTTTTTAGGAGCATGCTTGAGTGGATAACGGAGTAAGGACATGAACAAATCCCTTACCGCTGTGAGGGGTCCTTCTGCTTGTGCCTCCAATGGGCTTGTGGATGTTGCTGCAATAAACTGACTCACAATTCCAGCCTGGAGTCCCAGTCTATCTGTGTATTGCTCTGACGCAGCAGTGGCAGGGCACTCTCCCAACAGTGCTAAGAGCACACCTGAGGTTTCCTTCTTTAAATGATCATTTTCCTCCCAAGGACCTAATCCGAGCTTTTCACCCTGAGGCGATTCTTCCAGGACTTGAAGCACTTCAGGTTCCTCATCAGAAGGGCTCCCAGTTGTTTTATGCCCTAAAGCCTCATTTGTCCTAAAATCTCGAAGGTCATGTTCCTTGTCCACAATCACCCATTCTTTGGAATCCACCTCCTGCTTGCAGGAGCTCAGGTTGACTGCTATAAATCCATTGCTACCAGCACCATCTGCCTGCTCAGGAGTGTTGGCAGAAGCAGGCTTGGAAGCATCTGGAAGATATTCTTCATCGTAATGCCAGATGTGGTCCATACGTGATACAGCAGGAACACAAGGCTTATGAAGCTGAGCAGGGAGAGTAGATTGTTTTCCCGCACTGGAATCTTTCTGCATCTTCTCCAGGCTTAAAGAAATGGAGAGAAGTTACACAACTATCCTTGGAAAATATCCAGTCCATAACCTACAGGGTTCTACACAGACTAATATTCACACAGAGAAAAGAGACAAAAGATAGAATATAAGGAAAAGTTCCACAGGCTGATAATGCTCTTTCCCACCTGCCATCATCTTGTTCTGATAGCTAAAGCCCAAGGGAGGAGGATGTCTCTCCAGCTCCAGGGCAGGAGAGAAGCCTAACTGGGGTTGATGTGTGTGATCCACTTCATCTTTTTTTTTTTTGCCAATTCAATCACAATACCCTCTGCCCCCTGTTCTCTCTCTGGGACTGAGGAACATCCTACCCAAGGGCTACTGCCTCACCAGAAGCCCTATAAAGGAAATGAAAAAGCTTGTAAAAGTAAGCAAATACTTTCTGCATCTATCTTCAGAAATGTACATAAATGTATACTAATTCACATAAATATTTCTAATGATAGGTCTTTAAAAAATAGGACTCAAGAGAAACAGACATTATACCTATTCAACAAAACCCAGCCTATTATGCACACACAGGACCTGCTCAACCAGTCTACTATGCACACACGAAGGGTCGGTGGTGGTGGTGGTAGGGTGCAATAGTTTGGGAGAAGCTTCGGGGAATATTTGCTGGTTAAAGGGAAATAGTTCAACTAGTGGTATTTAACTGCACTGGCTTCTGAGAATCGAACTCATCTGCAGGGAAGCATAATTCAAGAAGTAATTTTTTTCTTAAGGTTGTGATTTGTTGTTGTTCATCATACAGTTGACCTCTTACAGACTCTATTAAACAAGAGAACTGTCCCATAGGGTTTCCTAGGTTGTAATCTGCATGGGAGCAGATCACAAGGTCTTTTCTTCTGCAGAGTAGAGATGGACTTGAACCAATGACTTTGTGGTTAGCAGTCAAAGCACTTAACTATTGTGCCATCAGGGTCCCAAATTTGTGATTAGGTGCCTCAATTCCTACAACTGTCCCCTATGTACTCTAGGTTCTGGCTTGAGTGGTTATTGGGTTTAAAAAAAAAATTTTTTTTTAATTACTCAACTCTCTTATGTTAAAGCTTTGTCCTCAGCACGAATTCTTTAAGTTACATTATTTTAATAGATTAATTTACCTAATCAAATTTTTATCTTTACTATGCTTATATTTATTCCTAATCTTAGCCACAAACCAAAATATTTAAAACACTGCCTTGACCTTCATCTACGCTTTTGCTCTTGTCAGCATGTAGACATATGCTTATATCACACAGCTGTGAGACTGAACGAGCACAATGTGAGGAATACACTGATGAGAACAATTATTGCAGGATCTGAACTGGACAAGCCCAGGAGTGGGTGTAATGTTTCAAGATACAGGAACTACTGTGTTAATCAAATCCAGGATCCTTTTAATGTAGTATTTCATTGCTGATAGTAACCACCAAAGATGTACCATGGGCAGTTATGATATTAAAACTAGCTCAAGTCTTAACAACTATTGAAACCTTCAATTCTTTAAAAAAATTTTTTTCAATTCTTAAATATATCCAAAATTAAAATTTTTTTCACCTCTATCTTCTGCTAGCAAAATTTCTTATAGAGACAATGGGCCTCATAATCATAAACTACAAACTCTGTTACCTATGTTTAGCTCTCCAAAGTTCCACCTTTTCTTTCTTTCAGTGTGGAATGTTAAGTTCGGGAGGGCAAAAATAACTTATTCATGTTGAATTTTCCTACATAAACCTTGCTCATAGTAGGACTTTACTAAACTGGATTGAACTGCTGGTCCTGTGCATACATCTGACTTTTCCCCTCCTTCACGTAGGTAGGAATCCTTCCTGCCAATTACTATAAACTCTCTCTTTATTCAACACTACATTTTCTCTATTCCAAGAAAAGTGATCACCTTCTACGTAAAATCACCTTCCCACAAAAACGTTCATTTAACTTACACCTAGTGCTAAGAAATTACGAGTTCCCACTACTCTCCAAAACCAAAGGATGTGCTAGGGAACTTGAAATACTATCAGAAGACAATTCATGTTAAGGGTTAGGAAGCTGGTATTTAAAAGGATGGATAACGATAACAGCTTAATCTAATTAGTGTTATTAAAAATACCAAGTGTCGTAAAGATTTTACTGTACTGGAAATAAGAAAACGTTTTAGTAGCTTTAAAAAGAAAAACCATTTTATACCAGGCCTCAAGAAACTTGTCCGTGTCTGGCTTTGGCTCCAATGTCAGACGTTTTTCCAACTCAAAGCTATGGATGGAACGTAACTTTCGCACCAGTGGAAGATCTCTGTCTGGCTGAGTAATCTCTGAGCGGACCCGAATGGGTGAACCCAGACTTGGAGCATTCAGCATACCATTTCCTTGGCCATGGCTGTTTTCTTCTTCTGTAGTAGCCTGGACAAAATAGAAAATAAAACCATGAAACACATTTCAGATCCTATACAAGAGAGGGATGACTGAAACCTTTCAAAATAAAACACACGACTGGGATGTGTTCTCAGAAAATTAGGTTATTTTGAGTACCTAACTTGATTACATACCTGCTGCTGCTGCTGCTTGTTGCTAAGGAATCAGTTCCTACTCAAGGCAACCCCGTGTGTGTGGCACAGAACATCTCAATTATGTCTACATAGCAGATTGCCAAATCTGTCTCCCATGGAACTGCTGGGTGGATTTGAAACACTAACCTTTTATATTCAAGCACATAATCCTTTGTGCTATCTAGTACCATTTATTACATGAGTTTTATTAATTCAGTCTGTTTCAGTATTATTTGCATTTTGGAACTTTGGCCTTTTTTCACCTCTGGGGTGGGTAAATGGGGGAGGGATTTACAGGAATAAACCACCATATATACTCGAGTACAAGCAGACCCAAATATCAGTCGAGGCACCTAATTTTACCACAAAACTGCATTCAAATGTGCTGGAAAACTTGGCTTATACTCGAGTATAAACAGTATCTAAAAAACTAATGACCTTGGCTATTTGCCTATTTGCACTAATCTGACTAGTTGCTTCCAAGGATCTCATTCCACTACACTATTAAAACACTCTCTTTAAACTAGTTTCACAAGAGGTACCAGGTGATGCTAAAGTTGAGTAGTTCCTGCTTCATTTCCCCTTTTAAAGCAAAACAAAAACTCTGAGGCTACAGCAATAAAGAGCTTGGGTAGAACAGAAGGGATGAGACTGCCTAAGGACAAACCTCTAAAAGAAACACACACCCAAAAGACCAAGCCCATTGCCACTGAGTGGATTACAACTCATAGCGACTCTATACAAGATTTCTAAGACAATAAATCTTTATAGAAGCTTCACCTTTCTCCTGAGGGGTGGCTAGTAGGTTTGAACTGCTGACCTTGGTTAGCAACCCAATGTCTAACCCACAACACTGTCAATACTCCTTTAATGACAGATTTCTTTCTTTTTTTTTTTTTAAGGGCAGATTTCTACAGCAGCACAATGAAAGATCAGGAAAATCAAACCATCAAACCTTGGGTTGGGAGTAGAGTGAGCAACAGGACTTCTTTTTTAAAAAAAAAATCATTTTATTGGGGGCTCATACAATTCTTATCACAATCCATACATACATCGATTGTGTCATACACATTTGTACAATTGTTGCTATCATCATTCTCAAAACATTTGCTTTCTATTTGAGCCCTTAAGCTTAGCTCATTTTCCCCCTCCCTCTCCCCCATGAACCCTTGCTAATTTATAAATTATTATTATTTTGTTATATCTTATGTCTAGACCCTTCACCCACTTTTCTTTTGTCTGTCCCCCAGGGAGGAGGTTATATAAAGATCCTTGTAATCGGTTCCCCCTTTCTACCCCACCTTCCCAGTATGGCCACTCTTACCACTGGTCCTGAAAGGATCATCTGTCCTGAATTCCCTGTGTTTCCAGTTCCTATGTGTACCAGTGTACATCCTCTGGTCTAGCCAGACTTGCAAGGTAGAATTGGGATCATGATAGTGGGGGGAG